CTGATTCCCTCATGGAGAAAGCCCAGCTTGGGGCGAGCCTTTCATGCCCCTCTAACATTGGCTAACCATACCTTTGTAACAGATTGCTCAGGCCTCAAGTTCAGGTCTAGGCAGGCAGTCGCATTTAACTAGAATTCAATGGCATTTTACTATTTTAATTAAGTATCCATTTACTTTTTGCCTTCAAATTGCAGCAAATTAAACTAGAGTTCCATTTACTGATAGATACAATTTTGTAAGAACACAACTTATTCATTTATAAACTGATTTAAAATCATTGATTAAGTAAGCATTAAGTAAGTGCCGGCCAATCACTGTGGTAACTATGAAGGACAGAGCAGTGACAAGACACATAAGAGGCTTGTTCTCAGAGCTTACAGTCTGTTTGGGGGGAACCAGGCATTAAATAAATTATTATAATCTAATTACTGAATTATAACTGTGACACCTGTTATGAAGGAGAAGGGTAGGATTATAAACTAGTCATGAGAATCAAGAAAGACTTCCCTGTCCAACCAGTGTGGCTCCATGGTTGAGAGTCAACCCATGAACCAGGAGGTCACAGTTCAATTCGGGTCAGGGCACATGCCTGGGTTGTGAGTTCGATTCCCAGTGTGGGGCATGCAGGAGGCAGCCTATCAATGATTCTTTCTCATCATCGATCCCTCTCTTTCTCTTTCTCTCATCAATAAAAATATTAAAAAAAAAAAAAAAAAGAAAGAAAGAAAGAAAGGCTTTCCCAAGGAAGTGGCATGTAAGCTAAAATTTGCAGGGGAGGGGATGAAGAAAACAAAGGCGTGTGTGGGGGATGCCCAGAAGAGAGGAGGAGGAAGAGTATAACTAGAAAGCAGGTTGTACACAGAAAGAAAAGAAAGAAAAACATGCACACATACGCTGTGGCCGAGAAGCATAAACGGCCCTGAGTAAAGACAGCAAGCCAGTGGAACTGGAGTGAGTAGAGGAGTAGCGGGGAGATGAGGGGTAAAGGCAGTAGAGGTGGTCCTGTTAGGTGAGAAGGAGGATCTAGATGTTATCCCGTGGTCGATGGGAACCCACAGAAGGGTTTTGAACAGTGGAACAATAGGATCAGCTTTGCAATTTTTTTTAAAACATAAATCAAGATGCATTTGTAAAAACAAGCAGCAGAAGCTCATAAAAGTCACACAGGTATTATTTTTAAAGTACACTGTGTAATCGCTATGTAACAGGGCAAATGTCAACAGGAGTATTGCTGGGGTGGGAGCAGCGGGGTGGTGGGTCGACCTGGAGTCTGGGAAGACCTTTTTATTTGTTTCTGAGGACTACTGCTCATCTGATTTGACGCCAAGGTAGCATTTGGATAAGCCAGGATAAAATCCCCATTCAAAACACGCCCCCTTCTTCAGAAGCTTCAAAAGAAAATTTCTCAAATTTCCACCAAGAGGAACCTCACATGTGGGTGGTGTTGAGGACCACCCACACCGTGTGATCTGAGAAGTGCGGGGAGACCACTCCTGTCCTGTGTGAACTGTCTCCGGCCCCCAGTGGCACCTAAGATGCTGCCATCACGACTCTGTTCTACTGAATCTTCCTTCAGTTACCAAATACGCTAGCACAGAGCAGCCCCCTGATTCCATCCCGCCTTCCTAGGACAGAATGCATTGTATCTGTTTTCTCAGGGATGGGAGGGTTGGAAGCTTTTTCAAACCAGTCACCATGGAGAGCATGGAGGGGCCAGGAGACTGGGCAGGGTCCAGAGAGTGACCATCAAAGGAGCCCAAGTTCCTTTGACGTCATCCCTTTGTTTGGGGCTGGTGTGATCAGCTGGTGTGCCCGCTACAGACATAGGTATAAAAGTGTGTGCATTTACACAGCAAAGGTATATTGATATGCTTAGGGCATGTTCATGACTTTATAACATGAGAAGCAAAAATGGAAAACAGCACAGGTCCTGGGATTGGACCCACCTGGGTTCAGATCACGAGCTCTGTAACCCTAGGAAAGTCTCAGGACCTATCGTATGGGGCACTTGGGAGGATGTAGAGATAATGGACCAGTCTTGGCACTGGTCCATGGCATACAGCAAGTGCCGCACGAAAGTTACTGTTAGGGTGATGCCTGTGCTTGTCCCTGTGCAAGCATACGTGTGCATGTGCATGTAGATGCAGATCTGGGTGTCTAAGGAAGTGTGTTTAAGAAGAAGAAAGGAAAGGAGGGAGAATGTTGCCCGCCTGTGCCCGCAGCAGTTGAGGCACCAGAGCAGACCTGTTAGGGGTGCGGGGACAGCTCCCAGAGAAAAGAGCTCAGCTTTGCCCAGTGGGAATGAGGAAGGGACAGCAAAGGGCCTCAGCCTAAGAGAGGCTTCCTGGTGAATCTATAAAAGTGGAGGGGTGAGATAATGTTGAAGTGCAAAAAAAAGCCCTCGATAAAAGGAGATTTTTTTTTTTAAGGAGTTAAAAATGGTCTCAAAAATTGACACGTATCCAAATTAGGCCTCTAATTTGCTCCAACCTGAAGCTCTCCCCTATCTTGAGCTTCATTTATGTTTCCTTTTTCAGAACTGATTTGGAAGAACTTTGAGAAATGTGAACCACCACAATCTGTTCTCAGCCCTCTTGTTCCCCTCTTCAGATTTGCCCAGGGAGTTGTATCTAAGAGCTTGCTGCATCATAAAGATAGGCCGTCCTATGTTGAGGAAGAAGACCCAGGAAAAAGCAACACCCAGTCCTTATTCTAGGTTCTGCCCTTAACTCACTGGGCAACTTTAAGGAATCTCTTGATCTCTCTGAGCATAGCTGCTCCATCTGCAAAAGGCGTTGATTGGTCGATTTGGGTGATTATCTTTTGACTTCCTGACATACCAGAGGAGGGTTAGCCCCCTTCAAATATCTCTCCTCCCCTTAAAGCTATATCAACATATGACAACGTAGTTAAGGGCGCAAACCACATGCCTCCTGCTAGCTGTGACTCCTGGGATGACTTATTTAATCTGTGTCTTAGTTTCGTCCTTTGTAAAACAGGGTAAAGAAGAGAGTAGTGTATCATTGAATTGTTAAAAGGATGAAATAAGTTGATAGAAGTGAAATATTTAGAACAGTGCTTGACACAGGTAAGGACTACTCTAGTTTTGAGTAATATTATTATGATTATTTACTTTATTAAATAATTTTGTAATTTTACATGAAATAATGCCATTGATAAATCAAAAAATAAAAGTATAAGCATTCTTTGGGGTTATATAAAAATTTTCTAGGGGGTCAGGGGAGAGCTAGGACCATTGCTTTTTCTTTTTTTAAACCTATTGTGCTTTGATTTTTAAAGGATGTGTATGAACTACCACGACACTATTTTTTTTTTTTAATTTAAAGAGATTGAACAAAAAGATCACCGAAATCCCTCTCAAATTTCTAAGTTCAAGAACTGGCTATGGTGATTAAGGAGCAGTACTTTTTAGGTGTCCAGCTTATCTTTGTTATCAAAGCTACCATTCCTATGTTTGACCTTTTTAAGAACTTTTATAAAGGTTTAAAATAAGCACAATTACCCTCTCGTGTTTATAACTGAACGTGTTTCCACTTCTTGGTTAGGAGAGAAACTGAGAAAGGTGAAAACATAAACTGTAAATACTCAGCCTTCTGGGCTGACCTAAACTCTGCCCCTTACAATCTTATCCCAGAAACTGATTCAGTTACATAAGAAAAGAACCTGTAGTTGAGAGTGATCTCAAAGAAAACCCGCTGCTGGCCGCCCAGCGGTGAAAGGGTTAACTGGGCTGGGAAAGGCGATCCCTTGATATGAGTAAGAGTTGGAGTTGTTAAAGTTTTCAAAGCAGCCGCAGCGCAGTCATCGTGGCTCCTGGCTCTTGGGGAGAGCGAGTTGGAAGGAGCCTGACGGAGCAGACCCAGACCGAGGATCAGGATCTGAACTCAGCTGGGGTTACAAGCTCAAGGTTAGTGGCTGCCGCGTACCTCCCCAGCGCTGACATCTTTGGAGAGTTGTCTCAGGAAGGCAAGGCGCCATCTCTCATCCTGGGGTGTCAGGTCTGTTCTGCTTCCTGGAGCGGCCACCCGCCCTTCTGCACAACCTCCCGGCTGCTGCCTTCACCCAGAGGGACAGCTGACCTATTTCCAGGAGGGTTTTCTAAAGGAAACTTTCTGGAACAGGAAGACTACACACACACACACACACACACACACACCCCGTATATTCTGCTCCTTCTGGTATTTGCGCAATCCAGAATTGCTATCTGCCTCAGTTGAAACTGAGAACAACTGTCAAAGTAACTAAACAGGCTGCTTGCCTTTATCTTGTGGGAGGAATACTGTCTCTGAGGCTATGGTCTCTGTATTTGAAAGCTGGTTGCTCGTCGCTTTTCGTGTACCTTGCTAGAACAAAGCGAAGGGTGAAGATGCACTGTGAAGGAAATATTTCTGCCTCTGCATGAGCTTCAGATAAACGTGCGCACGTAACCTTAACTTACCTGCATGTGCTGCGGTTGATAAACTTAACCCTAGGGAGGGAGGACGGGGAGATAGTAGCAGCTCCACACAAACTGCATTCTGAGGTCGCTCTGAATGACAGTTGAGCCTGCTGGTCTGGAGGGGGGAAGGACCCCCTTGGAGCCTGGCTGGGAGAGGCGTGGGGAGGCCTCCTTGTAGGCCAGTGCTGTCTCCGTGCTCCCGCCTTGCACATGGGAGGCGATGAGTAAGTTGTCGCTGAGCTGAATGCTCCCTTGGCTCCTCCCGCAGCGGGAGCCGGTCCTGTACCTGCCAGCACTGAATCAGAATGAGTCACTGAAACTTGGGTGCTGGCACAAGTGCTCACACACTGCCTGGTGAGACGCTGCCTCCAAGTAGGTGGGATCTCTCTCCCAGTGCTCACAGTTCTCCTCTCTTCCCCTCTCCCTCACACAGGCAGGAGGTGGGACTCGCTCTTGGGAGCTTGCCTCTGCTCCCTTGGCTTGGCTGACCCTACCATGCGGACTCTGGCCCTCCGGGTCGGGACTCGAGTTTTAAAATAAGATGGATGATTTGACGTTACTTGATCTCCTGGAGTGCCCCGTGTGCTTGGAAAAGCTCGATGTTACAGCCAAAGTCCTCCCTTGCCAGCACACCTTCTGCAAACCATGTCTCCAGAGGATCTCCAAGGCCCACAAGGGGCTGCGGTGCCCCGAGTGCCGAACCCTGGTGTTTGGCAGCATCGAGGCGCTGCCCGCCAACCTGCTGCTCGTGCGCCTCCTGGACGGCGTGCGCTCAGGCCCGGGCTCCGGGAGAGGGGGCTCCTTCCGCAGGCCCGGCGTGCTGGCCCTGCAGGACGGCAGGAAGAGCAGGACTCAGCCCAGAGGCCTGCAGGCCAGCCCGTTTCGGCTCGTGCCCAACATCAGAATCCACATGGATGGGGTAAGAGAGATCTCCTTTGTTCCTATCCTGTCCACCTGGAGGTTGCATTTGTGTGTGCCAGCGGTGAGGGTTTATCACTTTCAGTTACGTGTCAAAGGAGGTGCCGCCAGGATTCCCGAGAGGGAAGTTTCTGTGGGCAGGGATCCTCCGACTGAAGTTTGGTGGGGTCCTGACCTATCGAATCCTTTCTGTGATTCTTAGAATTGTGACAGCGTCCCGGTTCCTTGTGCAGACGGTTAGCAGGATAAGGAAAGCCTTCTTGATTATATTTTTTGGTCTTTTTCACTTCGGCCCTGAGGCCAACCCGGTGTATGGAAAATGCACGAAGGATGGCAAAGAGAGGGAAAACAAATCCAACTGCTTGTTGCTTTGGGGGTCTCTGATAAATTTCCAAGAGTCAGGTTCTGTTTGAATGCTCCCCAAATCCATCTTCCTGCCTCAACCCCCACCCAGGCATACAGTGCTGTTATGACAGTGTTCATTCACAATCCACTCAAAGCTATTAAGGCTCTTGCGGGGCCCGGAGGTGGTGCAGGAGGGAGCGTCAGTGTGGGTGGACTGATTGACAGGAAGGCCGGCTGGGGAGTACAATACACAAAAAATGCACATCGGTGGCTGCAGTATAAAAGCAAATGGAGCCAGTAGAGCCATGTGGGATATGGCCCAAGGATGCTTTTGGTGTTTGGACAGCGGGGCCGCTCTGTCGGGCAGGGCAAGCACATCCCGGGGACTGTGTCCCACCTGGTGGGGAGCCTTGCTGAGAGAAGCTGTGCGAAGGCACCTCTCTCGAGAAGCATGTGGTCCTTGCCAGTCCGGCAGGATAATCTGCAGTGTCACCCCAGGAGTTGGTGTGCCAGAGTGGACTTGGCAAGCTGCAGCCTGAGTCGCTGGCATACTTAGAAAGTCAAAGCTGCATGCTGTGATGTCTTACCTACAGCGAGCTTTAATACTGGCCACAGAGTCCCAGGACTCCCCGCGGGGAAGAGTAGCTGTAGGAGGGAGTATCTTCCAGATTTCTTCCCAGCTGAGAGCAGGCTTGAGATGTGCATTCAGTTTTCTAAAATATTTCTTGAAACAGCTCACCCCTCCTTTGCTTCCCGGCACCTCCAAGCCCCCGGGCAGTAGGAGAGTGTGGGAGCATTCAGAAGTATGAGCGGGAAGAAGTGGGCACTGGCATGAACTCATCCCTGCAGACTTTTCATCGCCATGGTGCCAGTGTGTGTGAGCCACATTCCAGAAGAGGGCCTGGTATCCTTCTTTGAGGCTCCTTCCTAGGCCTCGCCATCAGTCAGAATCCACAGGCTGGGGAGTGGCGGGTCCGGTGGTTTAGAGAGAATCTCATAGAGAATGGACTCTATCTCCAGCCGCAAATCTCCCTTTGAATTCCCAAGATCCAGCAAGCTCTCCCCTCCCCCATGTTGCTGCAGAGTCGAACTTGCCTCTTGGCAGAGCGTCATTGCTCACTAAGAATGTGTTAGAGACTGAAAGGAGACCAGTCCCTTATCGGCGCTGAATGTGTTTGTTCATGTTTTTTGTCTTTTTCCATGTGGTTATATTGCTAAGAAAAGGTAGCAGCGAATGGATCCACAGCTCCTCCTGGCAGAGGGAGTTGTGGGGATCAGGGCTGGTCCTGCGTAAGAGACAGCCACTAAGATACTGCATGTCCCTGGAACTCTTTCACAGGGACTTGTAACACCAGAGCAAGGTGCCAGTGACGGCCCCTCCCCCGAGTCTCACCAGACCAAGTCCTGTCCATGAGACTGAAACAAGGAACCAAACCCTTTCAGCAAGGACCTGGCTTCTTAAGGATGCAAGAAGGCAGAGCTGGCAGCCACCACACCCACCCCTGTTCTTCGTTTTCTTAAGCTCGCCTTTCCTACCTTTGCCACACCTCATCCCTGTAGCTCTCTCAATGGGGACATGAGCAGGCTCATTCCTGCATGTAACGATGGCTGTCATTCTGCAAACTATTCTCCCAAAATACAGCTTTCTTTCCTGTATGAGAGCAGCCACGCCTCCCTTAGTTCAGAGAATGGAGGATGGTTGAGCTGCCACACTCTGTTCTGAGAGTCAACAGTGTGGGCTTGCATCCTCACCAAGGAGATTCACCCTCTGGCCTCAGTTTACCCAATCTAGGCTCAACAATGAATAATACTCACTACCCACCTGCTTCCACATATTCAGGTCACCTATGTTTTCTAAGGTGGAATGCCTATGCATTACATGAAATGCAAAGCATCGTTTTTATCATTAATTTAAACTTGCTGTGTGACTTTGGGCAAGCCACTTAAGTTTGCTGGGTCTCAATTTAAATTTCTGTAAAATAGGAAAATGCATTGTAAACACAGAGAACTATCCCATTTCCTAACTAATTGGTGTTTACCAAGCACTTGGAGATCCTTAGATGAAAGGCATTTGGAAGATTGTTATCATAGAAAACATTATTATTGACTGTTTATGGTGCCCTGCTGTGCATGAGGCATTCTACAAAACACAGAAGGAGTGACAGCCCAAGCTGGAGAGCATAATAAGTGTTGTTATTGAAGTTGAGTCTATGATGAGTCCAGGCCAGGATGATACTAAGTATAAAGTACTCCTCTACGGGGACATAAATGACCTGTTGTTACAGGGTACCACTTTGTAAAACACCTCTTTCAGAGGGCCTCATGTGAGCCCGGCACTCTGAAGGAGCAAGTTTCACTTCCTGTCTGTGAGCTTTCCAAGCCGGAAGTCTTCCTTGCTCACTCGAGTGAACATAGGGTCCTCTAATGAACAAGCTCATCAAGAACTTTTTGTTTGGTGCTCCTGTGCCAGCCAGCATGCGAGGGTGGAACCAGCAGTCGCACTTCAGGGTGCCAGCCAAAGACAGAAAAAAAAAATGGCCCATTGTGCCTACCTGTCTAAAACTCTCCCAAGCCTATTGTGTAAAAAGGAAACTTGAGAAATGGCTGTAGGTTTCTACAGCATGCAATTATTTCAGACCAGCAGGTAAGATCAACAGACTCCTGGGAGGCCTGGACTGGCAATCCCACTGGTTCTTATTCCTTCCCAGACTGCCATCAAGCCAAAGGTCCTTTGCAAGCCTTGGAGAAGATTTTGGGCTCCTGAGTAGTTGATCTCTCTTCAACCTCACTCTGATACCCTTTAATAGGATTTCTGAACTGAGATGGGCAATAAGGCGATGAAGCTAAGTGTTTGCGAGCTTAGGTTTGAAGATATCAGTATTCAAATCTTGCTTCTTCTCCTCAATAGTGTAATTCCAATGAGTCACATAAACCACAGGGCCTGCCTCCAATTCTCCATCCGTAAATTGGAGGTAATAGTAATACCTGCTTCAGAGTGTTGTTGTGAGAAATAAATGAGATGATTCATGTCACTTAGCTCTCAGCACAGTGACGGCTGAGATTAAGTGCTCAATAAGTGTTATCTGCTTTTGTTTTTGAAGTGACTCAACACTTTCCACTCTAAATTACACGCCCTCTTTCAGCCCCTAAGTGTTAACGAGGTGTCTTCCAGAGATGGTTCTTGGTACCCTGACTTCTGGCTTGTGTTGTCTCCAAATGAGCCGTGGCCATGAATCAGGTGTGTGATGCTTCCTGAAAGTGCTGACTTGGCAACTTACTTCCAAGACCCTTCAGGAGCTAGGAGTTGATTCTAGGAGGAAACTTGCCAACTAATATCACTTGTGCAAACAGCAAGCTCAACGGAACACCATATGCAGGGCAAGACCCTGGTCCCCTTCCCAGCATCACCCATTCTTCATGAACTTTCTTCTTTCCTTTCCCCTGCTTCCCACTACCCGCAACACAGAGGTTGCCGCCCTGAGTCTGGCAGGGCCGGACTTTCTCCCTGCTTTGTTAAGCAGCATGCCAACCACATACATTCCTGTCTCACTCGCCCTATCTCAGCGAGAACACACCTGCCACCTCCAGCACACAGACCAGGTGCCTGTCGCCCAGAAACTTTTCAGCTGGTGTTGGCAAGCAACCGAGGGGAATAATGAGGTCAGAGAGCACATGGGGGAGTTGGGACTGGTAGAAACCAGAAGGAAACCAGCCCCCATTTCTGAGTCTCAGCTGTTGTGACCTGCAGCAAAGCAATGACACAGACAGTGGTTTTTGCTACATTTGCAAAGGGGATGAAACCATCCCAAGCCCCTAAAAACAGCAGGCAGGTGCCACCTGGGTCAGTGAGGACCGGATGGGGCAGATGAAGGGAGACAAAGGCGAGAACTGGGGTTGAGAATTCAGAAGACACAGATGGCTCTCCAGCTTTACACACATTTGCAAAACTTTTGAAAGACCACATGGCCCCATATTGGCTCTGCCCCCAAAATCTCTTGGCATACCTCCTTGCTAATTAAAACTCCCTCCCTTTAATTCCTTACTTTAGTGTTTAAGATTGTGGTCAAATGGAGCTGGGTCTGTGCTGAGATTCAGTTATTTGCTAGCTGTGAGGCCTTAGGCAAGTCACTCACCCTCCTCAACCTTCGGTTTCCACTTTTGAATACCGGAAATAACAATAGCGTACATATATCAGAAGGCTATTGTAAGATTACAATGAGTTAATGTGTGTAAAAAGCTTAGTACATGTGCCTGGTACATAATAGATGCTAATAAATGTTAGCAACAGCAAATAACAATAACAATAGAGGAGGAAGTCTGCTGGCATTGGATCTGGAGTTCTTTGCACCCACATATAAGCATGCAGATATCACCATTAAAATCTTAAGGAAAGGGAAAAGCAAGAGTAAAGGGAGTCCTCAAAAGGACAAAACTGTAGTGATGGGAAATTGTGGTTTTTAGTGGTTGCCAGAGGTTATGGGTTAGGAGAGGACGTGACTCTAAAGAGCCAGCATCAGGGAGACTTGTGGGGTGATGAAACTATTCTTATTTGTGGTGGCAGCTAAATGAATCTACCTATGTGTTAAAATTCATAGAAATATATACCAGAAAGGAAAAGTCCATTTTACTGCATGTCATGTTAAAAATTATTTTTAA